AATAATGGATGTTCAACTTATACAGAACAATGTTTTTTAGCATGAAAGAAAAAGAAATAATTTCAGATGTTATATATTCTTCTTCAACCAATTCTGTATTAACTTTAGCTTCTAAAATTCCTGAGATTTTTACTAGAATTATAATCCAGCACAAAGGAAACCTAAAACACAATATTTTTAAAATTTATTTTTAGTGATTAAAATATTATTACACTAGGGCGACCATACTTACAGCAATTTTTCTGTATTGTAAAGCATTTTTAAAGTTTGTCCAGCAATTTGTATTGTGCAGCAAACGTAGAGCAAAATGGCATAGGTATATATCCAGTGAAATGCTGTATTTATCCACCAAAACGTCACTACTGTCCAGCAATGGTAATACTTAATTTACTGAAATGTAACAAATTTAAATGTTATTTATCTTTAGTGAACTACATGAGCACTTTTATACTGCCGTTCTAGCAAGAAAGGTTTTATCTGCAAAATTAGCAGTTTTTTTATGTGCATTTGTCTACATTTTATCTTTCTCGATACTGAAATGGAATGTCTTATTTGCAACAAAGGTACTAAAATGTTAAAAAGTTACACAAAAAAAAAGGTTTAAAAGATAATAAATATAAATTTTCAGATAGGACTTCTCTTGTTATGATGGCAGTATATGACTTCTCTGTTTTTGTATTTTTATAGTTGAGAGTAAGGTTATGAGTATTGGTCAAAGGTATCAATACCGGAATCATGCTAGATACTTTGTGGTAGAGGCATCGATACTGTTCGATATTATGTTAAAGATATTGATATTTATAAGTCTCGAGTAACAAAGTATCGAAAAAGTAAAAGATTTTTTTTAAACGGCTGACAACCCCCATTCAACAGGACGGAGTAGGGAACTTAACTAATAACAAAAGTGCATCAGTAAAGTATATTCTGTAGTTGACACCTTTTCTTTCTCTACTGGTACAAGTTATAGTGTTAATAACTGGCAATTTACCTTATAATTAAATAACAAAAAAACAGTGGTAACGCTTAATCATATTACCAAGTTTCACCACATGCAAAAACTAAAATATTTCAGTACAAATATTTGAATAAACCTTATAATCTCTGACCACACACATAGGGATACAATACTTGCTTCTAAGTATCACTATGGCGATAGTATTGGTAATTCAGTATCAGTGCCTAAATATCGATACTTTCATTGTTTAATATCGTTACTTCTATTGTATTAAGGCATCAATAAGATCCCTATTATCGTGTAAAATAAATATAAGCAGTCATTTAATTGTATCTACTTGTTTACAATGATTTATTTTTTATTGTATTTGGAAATTGAAATTTTACCATCTAAATCAGCAGACAATAAATTAGAAAATATGTATATATTTTATTGAAAAGAAGAAAACAACTTACCAAACTTATTCAAACGTATAGTTTGCAATTTCTTTAAAATCTCAAATACGTACAAAAAAAAGTGACAAATGACATTTTTTTATGTTTTGTTGGTTATGACAAAAGAATGGCTAAGTTCGAAAACAAGATTATGTCCATAGTACTTCTCGTGGAAACTTTTTTAGCAAGTTACTTAATTACGTTGTGTTATCATAACAGGCAGGTAAAATACGTAAGTAACAAATAGATGTTTCGCGAGGTTTTGATTTCCCTCAACAACTTCTCATTAACGTTGCAATTACCTTGTATGGGTATGTTATTAGAGAGATCGGGCAAGCACCAATACCGTGATACGCTAATTGCGTACGGTATTATTTGACATCTACGCATGCGCATATCAAAATATTTACAGAATTACCCTATTACCGTTATCGCAAAACGCTAATTCCGTAAGTTTGCGGAAGGGATTTATGAAATATAAGGGAAGCCGAATGTATCCGAATTTAATATGTATGCCGCTTGTCATTTGTCTTTTGAAACGATTTCCCGGTTTCTTGTTTCTGTTTGGCTTGGATTTGTTTGTATTTGTTTGTTTTGGCGTCTATTGTGTTCGTAGTAGTTTTAAAATGTTATATTGACCGTTTAAACATTTTTTGTAATTGTAGTTTTTTTTTAAAGTACATTGGGAAGAGGCAGAATATTGCTGAATCATTGTTAGGAGTGTTTAATGGGAATTTATTATTTTATTTAAGTTTATTTAAACCATGCGGTTCTTTGTCATTTTCCAAAATATTATTTAGTATAATGAACTCTATATCATCATCCGTCTCTCCCAATATTGCTAATTCTAAAAAAAAATAATCCACACAAATATATAAATCTAAACTACGATTGCCATGATCTAAACAAATCAAAATGAAATGATAGGAACAAAGAACAAAAAGTGTAAAGTCAATGTTCTCAAAACAATGGTCAAATCGATAATACCCGAAAATATAACGTTAAACCTAAAATAAATTTAGTCTGCCCGAACTCTCTACAAATTCACGTTTGCGTGCATTCGGTATTTCGAAAATAAGGTAGTTGGTAATTAGCGTAAGGACCCTATTGGTGCTTGCCCGATCTCTCTATTATGTTCCCTTAAAACAACATCGCCGAAAGGCTTGGCAACGTTATGTGCTAGCTGGGATGTCTCTATGAACGCGGGACGGAGCCCCCCTGGTTGGGGTTCGGTCTGCGGCAGTTAAAAGACTTTTGACCATGCTCTTACCCAATACATTTACTTTACCTTCATAAGGCCATCATAAACCAGCATAATATTGATCCTCTATCGAAAGGCCAAAAGTAGGCTTTTATCATGTAAGGGTCGCATTTATTTTTCCTTTAGCAAAGGGCAAGCAATACCCGGCAATTAATTGTTTATTGGGACTACAGTCGTAGAAATATTACTGCTCATTAGATTGGTATTTATTCACCTTATGCATAAGACCAAAGAAAAATAGTGTTGAATAATTTTAGTATTTCATATTAATAACAGGAATATTTGCGCTTTAAATGTCGAGCACGTGATACCTGAATTTGTTAAATATTTCTATTGTTATTTATTAAATGTAGCCTGGTACTTAATAATACATAAAAACTGTAAATAATTTACCGTTAAACGCTTGTCAGAATTAAAAGATGCCTGTTTATATTTAACAAGTATCTGTCAAACTCTAAACCCTTCGACTCTGTATTAGAATAGATGAGCTACATAACTATAAATCGTGTTTCCTTATCTTATATGCAGTAAAACAGTAAACAAAAACGAGGAACTTGAGGTTAAACTGGCCAACTGGTCCCTTTTGTATGCATGTCATATCTGTCATTTTCAAGGTTGACATTAACGCAAAATTAAAGATATTTCAATGGATATATTTGTTCGAACATATTGTAGATAATATGTCATTATTTAATAAAAACTCTAAAATATTCGTCTTAAATCTTAGAAACGATAAAATACGTTTTTCTATTTTTGACATATAAAGTGATATATTTTATAAACGCAGCAAGTGTCAAAATGATCTACTTTACGAAACCAGTTGCATAATGTTGAACATTATGAAACTGGTTACGAACAATTCATTATGTCACCAGTTTTGAAAAGAAAACAAATAAAAATAAACCTTTTTTGCTTTTAGAATCAATTTATATAATATGTATATATATACTTATATAGAATCACCCTGCATATCAATTGTCTAAAAATTTGCCCTGACACTCAAAAGGGGTAGTTCGGCTCTGAAATTTTACAAAAATATCATACCAAATTTAAAAAAAAAATAAATAATTATTAAATTCTTTAATCTTCTCCGCTTGTCTCTATCGCCTCTGTCTCCTTGTCTTTATTTGTGTTTACTGCTTGTATATGCTTGTCTATGTCTGTCCTGCCTCTACCTGTGCTTGTATACGCCTGTCTCTGCCGTGTGTATCTGTCCTGCCACTAGCTGTCCTGGCTCTACCTGTGTCTGCTTTCCGTGCTGTCTTTTTATATACCTCTTGTTCTCCTGCTTTATCCTGTATCTAGGTCTTTTATTTATTATATTTTTTTTAATTAAAATTCTTTAATCATTCTGATTTTAACTTTTAATTTTGGTTGAATGGCAAGTGTTGATTTCTAGAAACTTGACCCCCCAGTATAATTCAATTTTGATATTAATTTTGATGACTTCAGTAATTTCAAAATATTATTATTGAAAGTATATATTAAAAAAGAGCAGGTTGACTTATAAAAGTAGAATTTGGTTAAATTTAGTTTTGGTTCTTATTTTTTGTTCTAATCAGCACAAATAAACGACAAAATAATCCACTTTTTTAAAAACGAAATAACTTTAATAAGCGATATCAACACACTACAAGTCGTTGAAAATCAGTAATTAATATGATGTTATATTTGACAATAAAATGATGCATATGCAACTAACAATACAGAAAGTAATATTGGTTGCCTAGATGTCAGTAATATTTTACCAAAACACAATTTTATAAATACTCTAGTCAAAATTAGAAAAAATATTTTATGTAACACGTTACGAAATGCCGTTTTACGTAACTCGTTCATGTTGAGGTCCAGCAAATATTCACCCGTTTCATAAAAATAAGGCATTTCGTAACTGGTTGCATAAATAGCTATTGTTGCGTTTTTAACAGTTGAGTTTTATGTACAAGGTGAATAAGGTTAAATATTAAACAAGATATATAATCTTCATTATTTGTAACAGTATCAATACTGATTACCATATCGTGACGTTAAAACTTACTTAGTCCATCATGAATAACCTCATTCGTTTTTCTGGTGTGCGGAGATTCTATGTACATAAATATACGTAGAGAGTATATATTATTATCTAAGAGTGTAAAAACAAAGTGGAGAAGTTTACAATGCCGCACTGCTCGCCTTGTACATTGCCGAGCAAGTTGCCGCACCCCAACACTCGCCTCTTTGAAACTCATGTCGCAATTGCCTTTGCCAGACTTTGTGTTGTACCCCCCTTTTCGGGTTATATCACATTTATTACGAAACGAATAACATACCTATTCTTATTATTAATTTAGTTCTCCCTTTGTTCCAGTTTGAAGCATGCGGCGATCATCCATACTAAAGACCCAAACATCAGAACCACTAATAGTAATCGAAGACGATGAATATGAAGAGGAAAAAAAGGAAGTCTCCCGGCAAAATTCGGAAGACGAATACAGCCAGAATCCATATCTGCTTTCACCATTCGCCCGGGAAGTAAGGAAGCATTCATTGCCAACGCCCCAATGCAGTGGAATCACCGCCAGTCAAGTCAGAAGGTTATCAGAAAGGGGCGAGACAACAGGGCCTGGTCCTAAACAGGTTGAATTCTTAGCCACTCTGTCGACAGCACCACAAAGCAGCGGTGGAAGAAGACATTCGGTGGTTACTATATCTAGAGTTCCACCTACGTTGTTCGGTAGGAACAGGCGAGAATCTGTAGCAGCTTTCCCTAACCCTCTTGGCAGTAGGGTTCTAGGTAGTAGGAGAGAGTCCATAGCTTGTCCTCCATCTACAGAACCAATAGGCAGTATGCATAACCTCCAATTGGACATCATGGACGATATAGTCCAAGCGCGAAAGGTTCGAATGAAGATGTGGAACACCAGCAGTGAAAAAGTCTGCGAGGTCCAACCGCTTGACGAAACTGGCAACAGTGGCAACATACAACGTTACACCAATTCAGGAAGACGCTTCTCTGATTTCATCGGCACTACCCTAACCCCGATTCCTAGCGTTAGCAAACGAAGAGCTTCCCAAATTCCACCGGCCTCTGCGATACCCGAAACGAGCTTTACAGCCAGTAAAGTTGCAGGCATTGTTTGTTCCAATACTGATCTAATATCAATTTTATCATCCCGTTCGACTTCAGCTACAGAAATTGATCAAATTGAGGTAGATAAAAAAGATAGTTCTACAGACAAGAGTAAGTTGCATTATAAAAGAGATCAGTTGAAAAGCTCGAGGTCCAATAGCTTCGATATATCCATATTGAACGAAGTAGATGAATATCGTGATTCGAAATCTGCACATTCCAATTGGTTCGTGAAAAGGCATCAACCAATCACTAAGACTGAAGAGAAACCTAGTGTGAGCTTTAAAGAAAAGGTTGTTATCGAAAAAGAACCAAATAAAGTAATGTGGGATGAAAGAAGCGGATCTATTGTCGATCCGGAAGCACTTGGAAGTGCCATTGAAGTTTTTTTGAGGAAATCCTCCCCATCTCCGTCATCTGATACGCCTGGTACGTCTAATATTTCCCCCACGAAGGGGACGAAGGGTACTAACGGCGGTGGGGTGAAAGGTAAGAATTGGTTCAATAAAGGTGACGAAGATTCCTCGACAGAAACTTGCGATTCGTCGATTTGCTCAACTTTAAAAGACTTGTTTGTTAAATAGGATGATAATTTGGTTACTTTAGGCAGAAATGGCCCTTTATGAAGTCGAAATTATCAATGTTAATAATATTGAATGTGTCTTATCTCTCGTTGAAGTGCAATCAGTATTTAACTAGGTGTCTCTGATGTTCAAAAATTATGTATGTATAAGTTTATAATAACGTTTCACAAGTAACATTACTACATTGAAGAGGAACTGTAATGAAAACTTTATTTTATAATAGCGGTCGGAATTTTATTTGCCAACATAATTAATTCTCTCCAAGGTATAAATAAAAATGTTTACTTGACTTGTAAAAAAGGCGTAAGAAAAAGGTTCTAAATGAATTTTTTATACTGTTCCTCTACGGGTACAAAGTTGTCAATACCTTAAAATGAGTTGCACAAGGTATAATAGGAACATGCACATATCAGGTAAAGATCGCTTTCGCTCGTTGCGCTTAAATCTAGGTTTGATATATGTGGTGGGGCGGGCATATCGAGTCATATCGATGCACGCTATGTTACGTGCATGTCCCTTTGAAACTTTGTTTAACTCGCTGTAGGATTCCATGTTAAAAATTCCGTATCTGTATAATGTGGTCGAGTTAAATTAGCAATTGAATCCGTTGTTAAAGAGTATCCTCCTAAAAACCTATTAAACCAATTTGTTAGATTATAAATTTATTCTTCTGTTTTCAACTTTTTAAATCGGGTCTGTCCATGAAAATTTAACCCACAGGGTGTCTCATTAAGAATGGACACGCAACAAATGAAGATTTTCTGATTAAAAATAAGACGTTTAAAGTTGAAAATTCAAATATTGTTAAGGTATTATTCTTTTATTTCGCAATATAATTTTAATAAATTCGGTAATATTTTTAATGTCATTAGATACACCTATCAGCAGAACAATCAGTTAAATAAACTGCGTACGGCATGGATAAGCAACACCTTCATTTCCTCTAAATTTTACGCCACCTTTCAAAAACTTATTTAGACTGTAATTTTAAATCGTTTGATATGTTTTAAATATATCATGTACCTATTCATGTTGGGAACTAATAAAGTGATTGATTTTCGAGATATTGACACTCAAAGATAGATATTTTTATTTTAATTTTGTAATTTTGGATTTGTTTTTATAAAATTATACTAATCAAACGTTTTTGTTGTCAAAAGATAAACCTATTAGCAAAAAAATTATTTAAATAAACTATTTAATAAATATTTAATAAATATTACGAAACATCCCAGAAACATTTCTAAAATGTGCCTGAAACCTAAAAATGTCCTGTAAATATAATAGTTCATAGTAATATTTCTGAAATGAAAATTTGAAATCTTTTAGAAATATTAAATAGTAATACTTATTTCAGAAATGTATTCTAGTTTTTTTTTTCTAAAATATTATTAGACATTTAAAAATATACATGTTCATTTAAAATACACAAAACTCAAACATTGATTCTTAAACAAACAAACGAATAAATTATTTTTCAACATTATTTCATGAAATAAAAAAGCGAGTCGCTTCATTTCCACCCATTCCTTTGAATGCACTAATCTGAAAGAAATAGGTTTATTTTTTAACAAATGCCCCAAGTAAAGAAACATTTACGATTATTACAATCTCATCATTAAGATCAATCTACTCACTAGTGTACTTTAGAGTCTAAATAGTTACACTACCGTTAACGTATAACACTTAACCGCACTATACTCAGCTGTAATCTAACATCACTGAACTAATTCAAAAGGCTTGGTTTTCTTAAGTCTTTTTATTATATTGGCATTGTTGAGGAGCTGGATAATCTAAAGGTTTCCATGTTGGAGCAGTCGTTGTTGGCGACTACTGGCAAATTTTTGTATTGTATTTTCAAGTCTCCACTTTAAGGTCCCTATGAAGATAAGTATTGCGGCAGTACCAGGGTGCATCGACGATGTTCCTTAATACTTTATTTTGGAAACGTTGAATAACTTGGATGTTACTTTTACTGACACAGTACCAAAGCTGGCGAATTGCTTCATTTTCACCAATTTCTTTAAATGCACTAATTTGAAACAAATTATAGGTAATTAAAAAGGATTTATACAAATTATTTGATGAACAATAATTTTAATATTGTTTTAAATTAACTATAATAAAACAAACAATAGTCATGCCTTAACAAAATATGAAACTCCGCTTTTCAATCAGCTGTAGAACTAATAAATAATGTAGGTTATATTTAAGTAAACGCGTCACTCGTCTCAGAGGAGAGATAAAGTAAATAAACCTAACTTAAACAAGCAATATTTTTGTAGTTACTACAGAAGTGAGTACTGTACTCACCTCAATTTCTAAAGACATAATATTCTACTTCCCATATAACAGCACAACGCATAAACAAAAAAAAAAGAAAATGGCAAAAACCGACAACTCAAATCTATAATTATTTAGAATATAATGTTGTCTCTGGCTGGACATAAGATGATATAAACCTACATATACCATCTTCTTCTTACAATTCAGAAATTCTTTTACAACAAAATCCTTTTGTGTAACATGTTTCAGAAATATTTTCAGAGAAATATTTAACTAAAATATTTCAGAAACTTGTGCTTGAAATGTTATAAGATTAAAACGTTTGAAATATTTCTGAAACACTTGTGAAATAATGTGTGCTGTATGGGCAGTTGCTTACGGCATGGGTACACCTTCATCACTTTTAAATTTTACACCACTCTCCAAAAATTTTGAATTTTTTGATGTTTTTTAAATAAATCATGTACTTAAGTACGAAGGTTGTAAAGAAAAGTCCTTCGTATCTCACAGAGTCAATTTATTGGCGACCGATTTTGAAGTAATTACTTCATCATCAGGCACGCCTAAATGGAAAGTCATGTAGTCAGTGTATTGAAAGGTAAAAATTAATTAACACAAAAATGAAAATTGGACAGAAATTAAGAAATTTCAAAAATAAAAATTGGAAGGTTAGTAATAATTTGACTTACAAATCCATTACGGATAAGTTGCGTACCATATAAAGATAAAAAGTTCACTGTGAATATATTATATTAAAAATATTGTGCGAGAGATTAAGTTATGATTTAACGGTCAAAAAACTCAAACTGAACTAGAAGTGCTTACGTAAGGTTGAAAGAAATAAACAATATTTAAATTACATTAAACGATAAAAAAACGATATATGAACAAACAAACAATTTAAAATATTTTATAAAATAAGACAAAACCAAATTAAAACTAAACTGGAGTCCGTAATTAAGTTTTTAGGTTTTTTAGGGCTAGATTAAAGAACGTTTGCAACTTTGCAGATCTGCAAATAGAGCGGACTTTCAGATGCAAGTTTCAAGTTTTCGTGTTCCAAAAAATATCTGCAAATTCATAATATTTATTATGGTTTATTACTCCCAACAAAACTAAACCCAAATCCATTACTATATGTTTAAAAACTCGATAATCTGACACCACAAACTGTATTCAATCAAAAGGAACAGAAGACTACCATGTTTCTCTTTTGCAACTGCAACTGATATTTGCAGATGCAAGTACGATTTGCAGAGCTTCTGTAATTTCACCCTTAAGGATGGATTTGGGTTTAGTGTTGTTGGGGATTATAAACTACAATAAATATTGCGAATTTGCAGATATTTTTTGGAATATGAAAACTTTATACTTGCATGTGTAAGTCCGCCATATTTGCAGATCTGCAAAGTTGCCGCCATATTTGCAGATCTGCAAAGTTGCAGACGTTCTGTAATCTCACCCCTAACAAATAAGTAGCAAGTATAGGAAGAAACTACTTAGTTTACTAGAGGCAGATGTAGATGGCTAGAATGATTAAGAAATAATCTAATTCTAAAGTTAAAAGTAAGCATAATAAAATTAAAATACTGAAAGAACACTGCACTCAAAAAAAAATATGTTGTTGGAAACGGAAATAACGTTGAAGTAAGTTGACATAATAGAAGTTTTTTGTATTATAAATTATTTTCATCAATTTTCTTATTCATTACTCACCATTAGTTTAATTTTTACTTCAACCCCATATCCCATTCATTCTATTTATTATATTTTTGTCTCAACACTTGTTTTCACGTGCATCGTTTGTCCAAAAACTAATTGTTCACTAGTTTGGTACACATTTTGAATTCTTTTTCCTTCTTCCCACCTCTATTATGTCAACTTACTTTAACGTCATTTCCGTTTCCTACAACAATATTTTTTTGATTTATCTAAGGATGTTTCGATTAATCGTCTAATTTTTTATCAGAGAATCTTCAGTTGTTTCGTGTTCCATTCTCCTGTATTTCACTCTTATACAGTAGAGCTCAAAAATATAATTTAACAGCTTTTTATAAAAACAGAAAACGATATTTGTTGTTTACAATTTGACCATAAATCTAGAGTCGCTTCATTTCTGTACACATTATCTTCGGTACGTTAACTTCCCATCCTCACTCCAAAAGAACGGTATAAACACAATATTGAATAGAACAGAAGTAGAATAATACGTCACCGTCTAGGGACTACAAAAAGGGTGTGATCAAACCAATTCCACTCTTTAATCCTCTCACGATTAAATATAATTTAAGCGTCTCATCTTTAGTTTGCATGATACGTCGGTTAACGTACTGTATGTTACTATATTTAACATGTAACGCCCGATTTACAAAAGATGTGAACTAATTATGCATGTAGGTAAAGTGTGATTAAACTATTGATGGCCAAATAATTTATTCTGTATTATAGTGAATGTAATTGTAAATAAATCATCAATTTAGACCATTAGATATTATATATGTTTGAGTAGATATATTTAAAAGATTGTACTAAATAGGTATAATTATAATATGGACAATCCCCGATGTTAAAAACATATTTTTGTTAAAATAAAATTTATTCTAAAACTAAAAAGTATATATTGTGTATATTTTTATTTGTATATAGTGAAATTGTATTTATGGAGCTTTTGATTTTTAAAAAGTTTTAAAAAGTTGTTGATGTTGTATGATATGTAGTAAACACTTTATCACAATATGAGTTTCATTTATTTGCCTTCTTTCTGATACCTACTCTGTAAAATTGCTGTCTACGAACAATTCTAAATTGTCAGAGAATCCATTGGGAAAAGCATTCATTTTCAAACTCAAGCAAGTTTCCAGGAGCACGGCCCTAGAAATATTTCCGGGATATCTAAAGACGATCTGAATTTCCGTAAATTTTAGCTGATTAAAATCAGTTCGTGTGAACGATGTGAACGTATCGCCTCGTCAGTATCTCCTCAATTATTCTCTACCTCAATAACCACAAATTTTAATCAATATCGGAGGCAAAATAGACTGATAATCAAAATTAATTTCATATTTTTTTAAATATTGTTCCAAAATTGATTACGATATAAACTGCCTTGTAAATAGTGATATATCCAGAGCTGCAGTACTGAATACTTTATGTACTTAAAAAAATTACTTAAATACAAAAAGTACTGAAGTACTGTACTTTAAGTACCTGCAAAAATGCCTGTACTTGTACTTACATTTTTAAATTTTTGTCGTACTTGTACTTAAACAGTAAAATTTGGAATTAAGTACTTTTTTACTTAAAATAGCGAACAAAGAAGGCAACTAAGTACTTTAAAAGTACTTAAGTACTAATAACGTTCTTAAGTATGTAAATGTACTTAAATATCCAGAATGTACTTCAGCACTTCGAAGAAAATTTTAACGCTTTTTTTTAGTTTCAACAGGATTTTTCTTGTCTTATACCGATCCAACACGTCACCATGTCACTTTATAAAAAGCCATCGCAAAAGTCATTTGACAATAAAGTTATAAAATTTATTATCGACGCTATGTCTCAAATTTCAATTGTATCCAACCCTAGCTTCGTAAATTTATTTGACGGAATGAATGTTAAAGTTCTGGACCGTTCAGCAGCAAGAAAAGCAATACCGCCGACATATGGTCTTCCAAGGGTCGAAGCTTTATTGGGATGACATGCCATTGGCTGGATGAAGACCTTAAGCGACAGTCAGTGGCATTAACATGTCAAAGATTTGCGGGAACCCATTCATATGAACGAATTGCGGAGACTTTGGAGGACATTCATAAAAAATACAATTTAGATACAACCAAATTATTAGCCACTGTAACTGACAATGTTTCCATTTTCGTTAAGCTTTTTAAGGAGTTTGATTTAAACATAGGTAATAAGGAACACTCTGCTGAAGAAGACAGTGACTCTGAAGAAAAAGAAGATGAAGTCGTGTTTAAACCTATCATTTTATCAGACTCTGAGTCAACTCTCGACAGTTCTAATTTTACACAGGAAAGATGTGCCTCACATACCATAAATCTCATTGCAACTACCGATTACAAAAATTCGGTAAATGGTTTACTGCCTTTGCGACAAAAAAACACACTATTTTCCAAATGTTCTAAATTGTGGAATAAATGCGGACGGCCGAAATCGGCTGAGATAATACAAGAAGAACTTGGACATAAGTTAAAAGTTCCAGGAATTACCAGATGGAATTCCACTTATAACGCTCAAAGATAAGTTAGAAGTTGAATGTGAGTTCTGTGTGATAAACCTATGATTCCGGTATTTAAGGAACATGAAATATCTTTTTTAGAGAAATATATAGGGAGAGCATATCACCTATTATGGGTATCTGCTTCCCAGCTTAGTTTCGATGAAAACTAAACTTCAAAAGCTGAAAATATCAGGCGATACAAAATAGCTAACACTGCCTTTAGAGGCCATAATTAAGTCTGTTGGGAAAAGATTTAAATTAAAGAATTTTTAACTTTAAGTCCAGAATCCAAAACTGCCGTAATTGGCGCCGTATTGTGTCCACGATTCAAAATGCGCTGGTATAACGCCTTTAAAGACTTAAATGTTACCACATACAAAGAAATACAAAACTGGGTAGTCTCGGCTTTCGAATACTATATCAGTCAGGAAAATAAAACAACTAATGAAAATATCCAGTCAGACGATCCTTTTTTGATTTTTAGGAAGAACATGAGTCGGTATCTTTATTAAATAAACTACCGATACCAAATACCAGCACAATGACTTTTAACTCCCTAACTGAATTAGAAGCACTAAAATACCTAAACGACAGTACAACTAATTTAGACATGCTAAACGATTGTAGGTATAGGGGTCTATTCTGTAACACATCCGTTAAAATTTAGAGGCCTTTAAAAATTAACTTTTAGCGGACAGTTAATTTTTTTAACCAAAAATGGTGTTCTGTATACACAAATTTTAGAGGCCTGGTAAAAATTATTTATTTTAAGGGATTCCCCATGGAGGAAGGATTATTAAGAGTTGCCGTTTATTTGTAGAAATTTGGCAACATGTTTTCTTGCAGCGACCTGTGGGAGGGAGGAGTAGAAATAATCTTACTCTGTCGGTAATGTAGTTACCAGCAGTATTACCATCAACTCTTACTCTGTCGGTAATGCAGTTACCCGTAATTTTATATTTAATTTGAAAATTGGCGGGTTTTTTTAAAGGAGAATTTACTTTTGCAATTATTTTCTAATACTTTTGCAATTATTTTCTAATACGAAATATAGCCATACAAAATTTTGGTAGTATTTTCTTTAATTTTTAGTGAAATAAAAAACATGTACGTGTAGCTAAAATATGTTCCTCTGGAGCCACTTTTTCAAAATTTAATGGCAATAAATCGCAAAATTTTGTTTTTATAAAGATTTCAAAAATTGAAAAAATAATTATATCAAATTTCGGAATAGTGGCTCCAGAAAAATGGACATTTCACTTTTACCTGAAGGTACATATTTTTCATTCACTAAAAAGTAAAATTAAACTATAGAAATATTTATGGCTCTATTTCGTATTGTTTAGAAAAAGATAATTGCTTAAGTAAATTTTCCTCTTAATTATAATTAAAATTTTCCTTTTTTATTAGCTGTTTGTAACAATTATGAAATGCCCAACAAAAATGTAAAATTCTATGACAAATAATTATGAGGGATAAAATAAATATCACACAAAGTTTTATATAATTATATTTACTAAAAATTCCCAAGAAAAATAAATAAAAAATATATCAAAGAAATGGCAATACAAAAAATTATTTTTCATGCACTTTACCCCCATACAAGCGAGCTTATGGGAAGCAAGAATGTCTATTATTATTTACTATGGCGCTCCCGGACGTCTTATAAATGATTTATTAAGAAAGTTACTCTAATATCACAAACATTACATTACTATTTTGGTACGTTAACTATCTTTGGCTAACAAAAATCAGAAATTGCACAACAAATAATGTATTTATTTGATATGAAAACTAATGCCTAAGTAAATAAATTTTTAAAATAAACAAAAACAAAACAACAAATTCTTCTTGAATCTTAGGAAATAAGACAAAAGCAACCATCCATATTAACTGAAACAGAAAAAAATTAAATGCAGTAACTTCAAATTATTTTGTTTGTCTTTTAGACATTGCAGCAGCCCTCATACTATCATTATATTACTTTCTTATTATTAATAGTAGACAAGTTTTAACTAAATGAGAAAAGACGTCTGTTTTATGTTCTTTATATGTAAACCAGAGACGGCTTGTGGCCTAGTCTGCGAGGAGGCTGGCTCACCCTATATACTTTATACAAATATATATTTCTATTAGAATACAATGTAATATTTCTGCTTTTTGTATTCTTATAGACATATATTTTTATTAAGTATATAGGGTGTGCCTTTTAAAAGTAGGCTCCTCATAGACTAGGCCACAAGTCGCCTCTGATGTAAACCATTTCAAATCAATATGGTCTGGCAAAAAAAAATTAATTTTAAGAATTATGTTGTCAATATGACCCAAAAGTGGTAAAACTATTTCACGAATTTTTGAAAGAAATTCAATAACATTTCTTTGTACATAAATGAAACGTCTTTTATCATCATTTTCTTTAAAATAAGTAAAAGTATCGATGGTCTTCTAACATGTCTGTAAATTAACTTTACACTCTTTGTAGTCAGAACTATTAAGTTTCTTAATAAACCCTGCAACATAACTAGTGGCCTGACTCAAATTCTGCTTCATTTATTAATTGTGTATATATTATTAAAATGAACTTTATCTTCACAGGACTCTGTTTGGAGGTGTGATAACAATATTACTAAGTACTACTATCTTTGGTGTATCTGGTTTTGAGGATGCTAAAGCAAGGCAAAGCAATCTTTTAGCAGTCTTGAACGAGTTGCGTTTGTAAACGATTTTGTATCAAAATATGATTTTCACATAATGTATAATGATTGGTTGTAAGTGGAATGAGTAGAATGTTTAAAATACGACACCATTCCTTTCTTTGATCAATATCAGAAGGAAATTTAAAAAGGTTTGTTCTTAAAATTTACGTTTGAAATGGACCTTATAAAATGTACTATAACAATTAGAAATTATGTGTTTATAATGAATTCTGCCTAGTAAAGACATTTTAAAGCATCAAAATACCTTCACTTGATTTTAAATAGTCCTAAATAACATCTAAAAAAATTAATAAAAGTAGTTCCACTCACATGTTTTCGTCGACAACCATAACATAACCACACATTTGTTTAAGTTTGATGTTATTTGTTGACAGCGCGCGCGGGGCCCGCTATAGCGGGCAGCCAGCTGACAGAAAGCCATCTTCACATAGTACAAATAACCAAGTGAAGACATGTTTTTTTTAGTTTGTTGTAATATATGAATTAAAATTTTTGAAACAACACTTTTTGTGTGTTACTGAACGAGATGTTATTAAATTAATCAATGTGCTTTACATTTTAATACAATTTTGTTATTGTAAAACGGACTTCAGAGCACCCAAGCGCGGAGTTGCATGCGCAGAAACGTGTTTACGTATTGTGCATATGATATAAACCCCCGTGGGATTCCCTTAAAAATGGCAGGAGAATACTTGACAACATCGCATTTAAGATTTATTTGAACTAGTTTGAAAACATAACCATACAAATCCTCAATTTTCAATTCAAAACCGTTAAAAATTAAAGGCGAATTTTAATATCCCTTTAAAAATGATTGTTTGTTTGAGGACTATTTTAAAGGAATCCGTTTAAATAATGACAGAAGTAAGTTAGTGAATACGAAAATATTTTTAAAGGCCGCCAATATTTTAACGGCCGTTAAAATATAAAGGAATTATTACAGAATAGACTTTATATAAAGTTAGTTTTTATTAAATACAATACGATCCTGCCATCTTCCGCACCAGTCGAAAGGCTTTTTCTTTTGCTGGAATTGTTAATGTGCCACGTAGGCATGCTTTGAGCGACTATAATTTTGAAAAACTAGTCGTTGTTAAAGCAAATGGCAATTATTTAGACTCAAGATCCAAATAGATTTGTTAGTAGTAGTACTGATGTATTTTATAAGTGGTACTCTGTTCTTTTTTTATTTTATTATTAAAGGAATATTTATTTTATCTTGTACTACTATTTTATTTTTAAATTTTACGTAAAATATGAACTATTTATTAATAAATACTTTATTACTAATGTCTAATATTACTAATCCCGGTTAGCAATGATATTTGAATTTAAATTGAGCTGACTTAGGCCTTTAAGCTTCACACCAGCATAGACTTTCTATTATTTTTATATATTTAAGCAAACACAAATGTACTTAAGTGTTTTGTAAATACTTATTTAAACCTAAATATACTTAAGTACATCTATAATTGTACTTAAATATACAATGTATTTATCCTAGTATATTAGCATATAAGTATATTTCAGAAGTTAACTACTCTATAAAGTACATAAGTACGTTTTTATGTACTTAAGGCTAATGTACTTTAATTTTAGGATTTAATTATTAGGTACTTAACTACCAAATAGATGTATTTGTACTTGTACTGGTACTTATTAGCAATCTTCAAAAGTACTTGTACTTGAGATTAAGTACATTTTACGGGTACAGCAGCTCTGGATATATCCTTGATAGCATTTTTGTGTATTTATGGCATGGCCTTAAATTTGTTTTCCGGGAAAAGCTTCTCAAAGTAATTCTGTGGTCAAGTCAGTTAAAAACGTGTATAGAACTTGTATACAGAAAGAAGAAGGTCATGTTTAACACTTGTTGAATTAAATTATTATATCTTATTATATTCTTCACATAGTAGTCTGTGAAGAGTATTCTGCGTTTACTTTCGTCCATTCGATGTCACATTTATTTGTCCGCACGATAAGTGACCGAAAAATGATATCAATTTGAAAATTATAGAAAAAATCAAAATTTATAAGGGGACGAAGCCTATTGATTTTGAAAAATCTGAAAAAATTGAACTCAAAAACTTAAAGTTTTTAGCAAAATCAAGCTCTATAACGAGACAAAGCCTATTGATTTTGAAAAAAATCCAATTTAAAATGGTGGGTTAAGGGGGTTGAAATTAAAAAAAAAAACAAATCAAAATCGAAAAGCGATAGCAACATGAATTTTTTAGTAAAAATCAAGCTCTATAATGAGATGAAGCTTATTGATTAGAAAAAAAATTGAATAAAAATCTAGGGTT